ATATTTTTAATTTTAATAATAAATCTCCAGAACAATGAAAGTACAAATACAGTACATGTTAGGTAAACACAGTATAACCAAATATCAGCGCTATGTAAATTAGCACATAAGCCTAGATAGGCTATATACAGTATGTTGTCACTGTCACAGGGATTACTAGGCCACTTTCATTCAAATAGGCGAATTTTCCCTTTCATAAGATTTATACCTGAACAGGTACTTACACGCACACACTGCAGTCACGCCATCTGTGGTTCTAAAAAGGGCGGACACACTGTGCTTTAAATTGTAGTGCGCGTTTACGGTGTTTATGACAGCGTTTATTTTCAGTTAGCAATTTTTTTTTTCCAAAGCTTTTAAGTTTTTTTTTTTTTTTTTTGCAAAAAAACTGAACAACATTTGGATTAAATTTGGATTAAGGTTTTCTTTCCTCTTACAGTTAGCATTCTCAAATAATAAATAATTTAAAATTAGGAGTAAATGCATTTTGGCTGAACGCTTCATCGTAGGTGGCATTGGACAAAAGCTTCTTCTAAATCTGCAAATATGTTGCCAGGAAACGCTTGTGTCAAAGAGATATAACGAAATAAATAACAATATAAATAAATAAATAAATAAATAAATAAATAAATAAATAAATAAATAAAACGAAAAAATCTAAATTCTCACATCATTCTTTATCAACTGCACGAAAAGAACAATATCATTTAGCCATATCAAATAAAAAATTAAGAATTTGTTTTCTTACAACAACTTTTACATCCTATACCGTTTTATTGTTTATTAGCATAAATGAAAAATATTGTATTACTTGATAGTCATATTTTGAAAGACCATACAAAATATTTTTATTTTCTATCAACTTTACAGTTTATTATTCTGTGTTCCTCTTTTGATATCGTAGTATTTGATTAACAAGCATAACAAAATCATTAAAAAACATTTATTAGTGTAGGCTAATCCCAACCGAAAGACTCATGTATAAGAAAAAAAAAAACTTTATAGGTTTGAACAAAAAGAAAATAGGCTATATAATTAAATCAGTATTAGTAAGTATGAAGCATCTAAATAAGGCTGTTAATATGAAAACAGATGACACATGAATGATGCTCTTTTGGTGTCTCTAATTTTATTTCTAAAACTGAAAAATAAAAAGATTCAAGAAAAAAAGTAATGAATATGAACAAATATAAAACATGAAGTATGACAGTTTTGCAGTGCCACTTGATATGCCAAAAGCGAATAAAAAAGAAAAAAGAAAAACATTACAGGATGGCAGTAACATCCCGTAAACACACACACACAAACACACGCTCTCACACACACACACGCACACACACACACACACACACACACACACACACGCACACACACGCACACACACGCACACACACGCACACTCACACACACACATACACACATACATCTTAAATACTACACAATAGACACACTTTTAAAGCACATAGCGTGACAGTCATACCCAGATTGCATGACTGCATGCAGTGCCCAATTATGAAAATGCTGTCATCAGACTCGCCCTTGGTGTTCCATAATAGTTTGAGTTTTCTTTCATTTTTCTGAAAAAAAAAAATGTTAGACACCATTGACTTCTAGGAAGAACAACTACTATAAGTCAAAGATTAGGTGTCCCACTTTAGCTATCACTTCTTTTGTTTTCATCAAATCGCCAAAATTGTTTGGAACAAAGTGAGAGACTTTGTATTGGGGGGGAGGATGGGGGGTTGGGGAGAGTTTGGCTTATCTCACAGAAGTAGTCTGATGAAATGCATAACATTCACAAAAATAAATAAATAAATACATAAATAAATAAATACTTTTTTTGTTTGGAAATTTAAACTTAGTTATAAATGTTAAAGTTATAAAATCGAATTACCATAAATGATTGGTTACGACATTTTAATAAACTATTTTATTCATTCATTCACTTTCTTTTTGGCTCAATCCCTTTATTAATCGCCACAGCGGAATGAACCGCCAACTTATCCAGCACGTTTTTACGCAGCGAATGCCCTTCCAGCTGCAACCCATCTCTGGGAAACAACCAAACACCTCACTCACACTCAAACTATTTTATATTTATAACTATTTATAACTTTTTAATAAAATATTTTAGTGTTTTGAACCATACTAAAGTGTATAATAATTATTTGAATTATTATTTAATTGAACGATAATGCAGAATGTTAACAAATAATAGACTGATAAACGGCAATAAATGCTGTAGTATAGGCTACTAAGGTTTTTACAACAGCAAACAGTTGTATTTTAATGAAATCATATACAGCATTGAGTAATTTGTTCATGTACCTTACTACTGTATATGTTGGATTACCACCAGGGGCGTTGCTAGGGTCGAAAGGGATAAGGGGCTTAGCCCCAAAGACCCCCAATACACCCCCCACCCCACTTCCATTAAAACAATAATGTTCTAATTCACCCCGCTAAAATACCACCACTTTCAAAAGGTAATCTACTTTTATAATAGATTTATAAATGGTTTAATAATAAATAGGGCTTTTGAGTTGAATTTTAGCAATAAATTTTGAAGCTTTGTGACTTGTAACACCAAAAAGGAAAAAAAAAAAAAACATTAATTAATTATCCCACTTTTCATTTACTAGTCTGTTGTGAGCCATATCATACCTCTTGAGCCTCCTATCTCCTCTCCTGATTTAAAGTTTCTGCTTGTTTTTTGAAAATGTAATTTTCTGCATGTCTTCAAATCTAAAAAAGATGATTTATTTTATAGTGTGAGTTGTTATCCAATGTGATACAAAGCAACATTTCTAAATTCAATACCTTGCAAAATATTGATATTCAATAGGCTACTATTTTTGACAAAATAAAATGTTTTATCAAAAATAGTACAAAAATAAAAATAAAGATTTATATGCTAGACATGTGTTTACTTCAAATTTCTTTTGAGGGAGATTTTTTTCAGTTTTCCTCAAAATAAGGTGATGTGGGCATTGTAGCACTTAAATGCAAGTAATGCCTGTTTCATTCATTCATTGAGCAGAAATTCCAGATATGCCTCACAAAAGTAGTAGAACAGTCCAGGAAATCCTTAATATGGATGAAGGCATCCAGCTATTGCTGTAGTTGAATGAACATAAGATCTGAATAAACATAAAAAGGCTTTAACTAAGCATTTACATGACTACGATAATAAATGTTTACAGTTGGAATTATTATTAAGTCAGAATTATTATTCCCCTTTGAATTTTATTTATTTTTTTTTAAATATTTCCCAAATGATGTTTAACAGAGCAAGGAAATTTCCACAGTATGTCTGATAATATTTTTTCTTTTGAAGAAATTCTTATTCGTTTTATTTCAGCTAGAATAAAAACAGTATTACATTTTTAAAAAAACCCTTTTAGGGTCAAAATTATTACCCCTCTAAGCTAAAATTTTTTTCTGATAGTCTACAGAACAAACCATCGTTTTACAATAACTTGCCTAATTACCCTAACCTGCCTTCAAAGCATTTAAATGTCACTTTAAGCTGCATAAAAGTGTCTTGAAAAATGTCTAGGCATATATTATTGACTGTCATCATGGCAAAGATAAAACAAATCAGTTATTAGAGATGAGCTATTAAAACTATTATGTTTAGGAATGTGTTGAAAAAATCTGCTCTCCGTAAAACAGAAATTAGGGGAAAAATTAACAGGGGACTAATAATTCAACTGGGGCTAATCAGACTTCAACTGTATGTCTTCTTCCAGCCATCTCAGGTATTTTCATAAGAAAGTCGATGTATAATCCCTTGCTAATTGACATAGCATGTTAAACTAGAATGTAGCTATACAATATGCTAGATGAATAAACTCACTGTGATTTAACTATTACAGAAACAGATGTGACTGGCTATATCATATCTAGATAAATATGCCTAGATATCTATATCATATCTAAAAAGCTAGAACAATTTACGTTTTTCTGACTAATTCGCATGTATGCATTGATATGTTGCACACTTTATCGATTACAGTTATTTTATTTCACCAAAACTACACATATTTTATACTGTGGAAACAAATGTTAAGCTTCATCAGTAGTTATAACTATTCAGTTTCGCGAAAGAGTTGTATTATTACCTCATCAACTTCAGCTCTTCAAAATAATGAATAAATAATGAAGTGCAGTGGCGGAATTTTTTTAAACATCATGTGACAACAGTGCACTCCCACCTGCCGGTAGATACAGGTACTGCTGAACAGCTGACCCGACACAAACACTGCGTGAGCTGGAATGTGCGTGATGTACGCCGTAATTTTCAGTACTTAGATAACAAATTAAATGTTATACTATACACCATTATATATACTTATATATTATATGTACTTATATTTTTATTTAAGTGCAACATATTGCAAAAGATCAGATAAATATTTATCACAAATGACTATATTTGTTTCATGTGGGGCAAAGAAAAAACTAATATTTGTTTATTTATTTTTTTTTTTTTTTGTTATTTATCACATTCAAACGTTGTTGTTTTTTACGAAAGTGTGTCAATTTTTACTTCTTGCTCAAATGTCAAACCATACATCGCAATAGTCACAAAGTTTTGAGAAAATAATAATTATTTGCATTACATGTTTTCTTTAACATGCCCTGCTTTGAATTTGACCTGTGTTTTACTATACATATTTTAATAGTCAAACGAAGCCTTTCTTTGGGAGGCTACTATTTTAAAATGTAGCACAGTTTGTAGCCTACAGTAGTGCAGGCTGACTACAAATGTTTCTTTGTGCAAACCAATAGAAGCCTATATAAATATAATACAATTGCTTAAACATATTTAACTATATTTATCTTAATAAATTACACATTTTATTATCGCGATTTTTATATGAGTATTTATGCTCTTTATTTTTAATCATTTGCTTATAATTCAGAACCCTCATTGACTCAATCTCCCAGAACACCGTGCGGTTGGTCCTTCTCAAAACGAGTCCGGCTCGACACGTAGGAAGCGCGTGCACTACACTTACAGCTTATTTCCTGTTACTTGCAACATTACGTTTTGGTTTTATTTGATCGTTTGTCCTGTAATTGAATGCACCGTTTCTTAAATATAAAATACTAAGAAATATGGCTTTACCGAACTGCTCATTGAATGTAAACAGGGAGCTGGTGGATCCCAATTTCGAAAGTTACAGGCTGTCATTGGACTCTATTCCTACCTACAATATAGAACTGGACGCAGGTGAGAAAAACATAAACCTTGTATTTATTTATATTGTCTGATTTTATTTAATATTTAGTTTGACAAACTCATACACATCCTTAAACTTTTGTTTACTACAATTTGAACTGCACTGAAATTCGTATACCACAACCCTCTTATACCATTTAAGCATCTTTATTATGATCTAACTCAATTACTTCAAGCTTATTTTTATTCAGAACATTCCAATTCATTATATGATGTTTATCTACAACCATTTGTTTATCTCTACCATTTGTCCTATAATTTTTATGTCATTTACCCCATCAGTTCTTTCTTTCTTTCTTTCTTTCTTTCTTTCTTTCTTTCTTTCTTTCTTTCTTTCTTTCTTTCTTTCTTTCTTTCTTTCTTTCTTTCTTTCAGCTGTGGCTGAGGTTAAACTGAAGGATAGTCAATACACCCTGGATCATGTCAGAGCATTTGGAATGTTCAACTACCTCCAAATCGACCCGTGGTATGAAGACAGTGTGTACTTTGTGGACAGCAAGGGCCGGGTTCTTAATCTCACAGTCACATTGGTGAGTTTCTTAATGTGATTTGGATTAAACTCATCAAATTATGCAGTATACTTCCACTTTAATGTGCAATACTCCTTTTTTTTTCTCATGTGTGGGTTAGAAATGTAAATCACTTGCACATGGTTCCTTGAAATCTTTGTAAATTACTGAATTTGGAATAATTCATTAAGTAAATTGGAAAGTTTTTTTTTTAATATAAACAAGCGTACATGTTTGCATAAATATTTCAGAAAAAGAATACATATTTTTTCCTCACGTAAGCTAATGTGCTATTTTGCCGGCACTTTATGGTTTGTGCATAATAGCTTGATTCTATTTGCACACGTATATACATGCGTTCAATGTATGCTGTGTGAGATACTTTGAGTCCTGTATTGCCATGATATTCATGTGCACACGTAATGTAATGTTGAAATTCTTTGGTTTTTAAGAAAATGTAAACCTGTATGACAAGAAAAATAAAGCATATTCATGTACACTGCCTAACAAAAGTCTTGTCACCTATCCACGTTTTAGGAACAACAAATAATAACTTGACTTCTAGTTGATCATTTGCTATCAGAAGTGGTTTATATGAAAGGCAAAGGTGTCTAGATTACGCTTATTTTACCAAAATAAAATACAATCATGCTTGATGTTTAATTATTTAATTAAGAGAGTAAGGTCTGACTTTGCTTAAGTCTTGTCACTTAATAGAACAAATGTACAGTGTAAAATATAAAATGATGTTGCTGTGGAAAAATAATGAGTATTGTGTATGACTCCCATGAGCAGGAAGGACTGCTTCCATACATCTTTGCAAAGACTCAAAAAACTTATTAATAAAGTCATCTGAAATAGAAAAGAACGCGTTTTTGCAGGACTCCCGGAGTTCATCAATGTTTCCTTCTCCATTTTACCCCAGACAATGCTGTTTATGTCTGGTGTTGACTGAACTGCCCAATCCTGGAGCACCTTGACCTTTTTTGCTTTCAGGAACTTTGATGATGATGCTGAAGTATTTACCATCTCCTGCGGTTTGTAATGTAATGGGCAGCACAAATGTCTTGATACCTCAGGCTGTTAATGTTGTCGTCCACTCTGCAGATCTCTCGCATACCCTAATACTGAATGAAACCTCAAACCATGAGTTTTCCTTCACCAAACTTGACTGATTTTTGTGAGAATCTTGGGTCCATGTGGGTTCCAATAGGTCTTTTGCAGTATTTGTGATGATTGGGATGCACTTCAACAGATGATTGATCAGAAAAATCGACTTTCTGCCACTTTTCCAAATGATCAACTAGAAGTCAAGTTAGTATTTGTTGCTAACGAGTTACATGAGCCTTAGCTCTTTTAATGAAATCCATGCTATATATCATATTATAATAAATTAAAACATGTACAGAATAGTCTTCAGTCTTTTGCAGAGCAGACATATGACAGAAATTTAATATCCGTTTTCTGCCATATGGTTGGAATTTTATTTATTTATTATTTCTTTTGTGTTGTTGGTTTTGACACATGAACAACTGTAACAATGTAACATACCAAACAATGATACCTTATTCTAAATTCAAATGTGTCCTTACATTAAGAACTGGAAAGTTTGTGAAAGGTCCTTGAATTTAAAGTTATCAAAGCTTTAGGAAGCCTGTTTACACAGTAACAGGATTGAATTTGCCATTGGTTGTCGGTTGTTTCTTATGTTTTATTCATATGCATTCCTCTACAGAATTGTCCTAATCAATTTAAAATTATACATGCTTTCCAAATAGTTTTTTAACACATCTAGTTCAATTGTATTCATATCGCAATTTATATCGCACAGTAAAAAAAAAATAATAATAATAAATTAAAATGTTAGATTTTTCCAATACCGTGCAGCCCTGATCCTTTATTGGTACACATTCCCAGTACATTATTGCACCTCCTTTTACATTAACAATGATATGGTAGCATCAGACAGTTTTTTGCAGATTGCAGATTTCTTTGTACGACACATACATGATTTAAAGCTCCTATTTCTCCAAATTCCTCACTCAAAGCTGCTTTATTGCAGTGGTTCTCAACCATCTTCCTGAAGGGCCAATGGCACTGCATGTTTTGGATGCCTCCTTTGTCTGTCACACCCATTACAGGTCTCTCAGTTTCTGCTAATGTAATGACGATCTGAATCAGGTGTGTTTGGTTAAGGAGACACACGAAAAATGTGCAGAGCAAGTGGTCCTCTTGGAACATGGTTGAGAAACACTGCTCTATTGAATTGAGCTCTTGTTGCTGCAGGTCTTTTTTCTATGATGTCTGTGATCATCAAAGCATTTTCTCCTCTGAACTGCAACTCATTGATATTGTCTTATTTTTGGACCATTCATTCATGCCCTTCTAGCTGCAACCCGTTCCTGGGAAACATCCATACACACTCATTCACACTCATACATTACAGACAATTTAGCCTAACCATTTCGCCTGCACCTCATGTCTTTGGACTGTGGGGGATATTTTTTTACCATTCACTTTAAAACCTAGTAATAACTGTGCAAAAAAACCTTAACTTTCTGAAATTTGTTTAGGAATCTATTGAATGACGTGTTTTTCATTCACATTTAAAGTCATTTAACCTTTTATATTAAGGGGTGTCAAACTCTGTTTCTAGAGGGCTGCTCCCTTGCACAGTTCAGTGTCAACCATGCTTCAGCACATTTATTCCTAGTTCACACTACAAGATTTTAAGCCCAATTTATTTCAATTAACGAGCTCGACGAACAGATCATGCTATAATTGTGGGAAAATATGTGAGTGCTCAGTTGTCTTATGTGTGAAGTACGATGCTTGGCGTTAAAAGTGGCTCCCTGACACCTCGCAGATGAAAATCCAATAATTTGTTTGATCAGGTATGTTTATTTGCACTTACAACTAAACTATGCAGAGCTGCGGCCCTCCGGGAATTGAGTTTGACACCCGTGCTAAAAAGGCATAAATGACTTTAAACATGAATAAACATTTCAGAAACTCAAGGTTTTTCATGCACAGCTGTGACTAGGGTTGTTACACCTGTACTTTATAGAAAATATAATCTAAAATCATACCCCTTCCCAATAACTATTATTTATTAATAAAAAAAAATATTTTTGTATCACAAAAAATAATACTTTAATATGTTTTAGATATATAGTTTGTTTCTCTACCAGCAGAGGGCATTCTTTGTTTATAGTTTTGTCAGTGTAGACATTATCCTTCTGATTATTAAAGGTAAATGTAAATATAACGTGTAATAAAACATCCTCTCTGTGGTTTGTTATTTTACTAATTTCTATACCAATGTTATGTTATATATGATCAATGGTAGAATGCAAATAACAGTGCCGACAATGCATTTCTTAATGCTTTAAAGGTAATCATTGTAGTAATATTGTATTGTATTTATTATTGTATTATTTATTTGTATTATGTTTGTTTGTTGGACAGATATTTATTGGTGGATACTGGATAATTACTTGCCCATGTTTATTTCAGCCTATACTAGATAAGGTCTTTATAAATGCTGATGAAAATTTAATAAGTCTGTTAAATACTTTGCCTATAATGTACATGCTTAAAATTAATTTAGCCTCATTATTATCATGTTGAAATTTGCCTTTATTATTATTTTTATTATTATTATTATTTAAAGTTACTATTTCCATTTTATTTTTAATATTTGATTATCTTTTTGACAAAATTGCATTAAATACAAGTCAATTAGAAAATCTGAAGGATAAATTTGAAAACAAATTAGAGTTTGTGTTAATTCGGAATGATTTTTTTCTGAATGATTTCTGATACATTACTTTCTAAAATAAACTGAAACACATGCCTAATCAGATGACATTCATAAACTAACTAAAAGATGAAATGCTGCATCTCTGCTGTATGTTTTGCTCTGTGTTAGTTGAAACCTTATGCTGACGATTTAATTGTAATGTTTGTCGTTCTTGCTGCTGACATGCTGGGTTAAGAAATGACTCGTTATGAAATACGGCAGTTGCTTTATAATTACAGTTAACATACTGCAATTATCCCTCCTTGGGGACTGTTTATGTTCTCTCAACGGTACTAGACAGGGGGCATTTTACTTCTGGGAATGAAGTGAAAACTGAGCTGGATCTTTGTTAATGTGCGCATCAAGCTCCATGGCAACCAAAGGCCTATTGCTGCCCAGCTCTTTGGAAAAAATTGCACCTTATAGAAAGTGTAATTGATGATTATTAAGTTCACTGTAATCCATTTCAAATTGCTGCCTTTGAAGTTCAGGAACATGCAAAAATGAACATGTGATGCATATTAGTTTTATTTCTAAATGGTTTAATTGGTTGCTGTCTTATTTTGGTTTATGAATCTTGTTTTTCAAAACCTTTGTGAAGGTGTTGACTCTTAAAGCCCTTCGAAAGAAAGTAAAATTGATGCACAAAAGAAACTGTTTCACAATAAGAATACTATTGTTATGGTAACTTTTGGATTAATTTATTAATTTAGTTGCTTAAAGTGCTGTATTGGTTGAGTTTGAATAGAAATGGTAACCAGAAGGTTGACATTCATACGCTTTATGGATAGTGCAAGAATTTTAGATTATTCCTGTGTAATTGCAAAAGTTTCATTTTTTGCTGTTTGAACAACTACGCATGCCTCCAAAAAAATGTGCAAAATATATCTTCATTTTAATTGTGTCTAGGAGAATGTCCATATAGTACAAAACAATTATTTTCATAAAAGTTTTATATAAAATATACAATATAAAAAAAATTAATTGTACACTCACTGGCCACTTTATTAGGTACACCTGTCCAACTGCTTGTTAACGTACATTTCTTATCAGCCAATCACATGGCAGCAACTCAGTGCATTTAGGCATGTAGACATGGTCAAGATGATCTGCTGCAGTTCAAACTGAGCATCAGAATGGGAAAGATAGGTGATTTAAGTCACTCTGAGTGTGACATGGTTGTTGGTGCCAGATGGGTTGGCTCATAACTGAGTAGGAT